CTTGAACGCTCTGAAATGACCTGGAAGTGCCTGAGTGATTGTGTGCATCCTCCCTAATCCACACACATTGCGTAATTTTATATTACATTTACACATAAACACTGTAAATTGAGTGACACACAAACATATGGTGTAGATTACGTCCAGACAAAATGAGTTAAATGAAATCCAAACAGTCCTGAACAGTACAATTCCAACCACATTCTTTGCATTTCTAAAATGTATTTAAATCAAGCTCAAATCTCATTCTCTCTTTTATTTCACTAGAGCTTCTGGATGTTAAAATCTGTATGTGAAAATATAAATATCTGCAGAGTTTGACAATGTAGCGTGTGTTACAGCATAGAAAGTGGGATTTTCTTTGTTTTTCCTTTGAAACCATATATTTCTGAAGGACTAAATCCGGTAAAATATAAGCCAATCTAGAGAGGCACTAATGATAGGGGGTTGCCACGCACTTTACAAAGCTGAGCTATTAATAAAAATATTAAAAATTTAAAAAAATGTACTAAGGTAACAGTCATTAGGCATATCTGCAGTGTGGTAGTGCCTCTCTCCTTTAATTTTTTGATTATTTTGCCTATTAGCGCAAAACAGAAATCTGGTATTGTTAACATATAAAGACATCAGAGTATCCTCTGAGCAGGTGTTTCTGTTGGATTAGCCAAAGAAATTGTAACAGAAGACATTTCATGAGTGAGTAGATGATTGCACATTCTGTATCAGATACTCAGTAAGAGAAAAGGTTCTTTCATTAAAAATGCTATTCAGTGCCAACGTATTGTTTTTCCATGGAATGTTTAGATTCGGGCCGTGTTTCAAAATCATGCGCAATCATGGAATTTGGATTTAAGATGCTTGTAAATAACTAGAATTCAATCATATTTTGCAGGTATTGGTGTTTGAAGTCAAAATGAATAATTTTCTCAAAAATCCTATCCTGTAATGTATTATTAATAGCTAGTCATTAGATCATTTTTAGAATAAATACAAGTTGCAATTAATTGTCAACTTCCTAGCAGGACTGCATTCTGGTCCGCAGATATTTGGTTTTCTCCACCAGGCGAAGATGATGGTTATGCTGCTTCTGGTAATCTGATTTATCGTCATTATGTGTAGTTGCTGCTGCTACAGAACAATCGCCCTGGTAATGTTGTATGAATTATACAATATTTATAGACAGAGTTCTTTTACCTCCAAGAAGGTGGGGATGGGTCAAGAGCAATGGCAGTATGTACAAATTAGGCTGTAGGCTGTGTCTGATTAGTGGGTTTTTAATAGGACTATTTTGTGCAGAAAGGATGTTATTTTGCAACATTTAAACATCATCTGCTTACTGTTTGGCCATGAAGTAGCTGACATGCCATATTTGAGGCCGTCTACGTGTGTTTTTTGAAATGTCATCTATATTAGTATTACATTCAAGGAACAGTACCAAGAATCAGGTTCTTTCAAGACCTTCTACCAGTATGCGGCATATAAGTCTGTGACAAGTGACATTACAGAAGGTCATGTCACTTTTAACTGCTTGCATTAGATCTTTCTGATTTCCCCGGTGCCCTTCCTTTGTTTGATTAATACTACTTGATTTCAAGCAAGGTATCGGAAGGCATAATTTAGAGCGAGTATTCTAGAGGCAATCTAAGATTTTTGCCATAGAACTTTTAATAAAATAACTCTAATGTTTCATTTTATCTTCGTGTGCTTTTTCCTGTTC